AAGACCACCCCGCCAAGGGGGAAAGGCGCGCAGTTGGGCACCGTCTGCCTTCGGCGTCCCTTTAAACGGTGCTCGGATATTGTAAGTCCATAAAGAACTGGGGAAAAATATTGACTCGAGTATAAGCCGAGGGGGGCATTTTTCAGCTCAAAAAATGGGCTGAAAAACTCGGCTTATACTCGAGTATATACGGTATATTTTGCATATCCTTAATTGTTCACATGTTGCCATGAGAATATGAAAAACAGATTGCGTGTCCAGACATTTCTAGCCAATGTCATTGACACCAGTCAATAATGACTTGAACTTATTCATATCAATACTGTGGGCAAGCCAATTTTCAAATGTTTCTGAAACAGTTTGGAAGAAGTCTTGCCACAAAGATTGCTAAGGCACTATGAATAATGTATTTATTAGCCACAATTTTAATGTGAAAATTCAGTAGTCCATTATTTCTAGTAGCAAAAGATTCCAATCCATTGTAATAGTTATTTATGGATATAATTTGGGGTTCAATTCTTATTAAGAGCTGAGAATTGTTAATCCTTGCATGGTGATGTAGATGCTGTAACTAAACTCAGACAAAATTAGAATCTTTTTGAATGAACTATAAATGTAGCAAGAATAAGTCACTTGAGTCATATTTTATTCCTTAATGCGTTGCCTGATCAAAAATATGATTTGATACTTCATCTGTTGTAGCATTTAAATAAAGTAATGCAGTGCCAGCCATGTGGTTGTATGTTTGAATGACTTTCTGGTTGATTTTCTAAAAAAAAGGCTTGCAGGATAATTCCAGTGGTTTTCTTTTCTCCATCCTTCTACTCTAATACAGAAGTCTCCACCCTTTTGGGCAGCAGGGACCGGTTATGTGGAAAGTTTTTTCTGCGGACAGGAGGGGGCATGGTTTTGTGTGCTGCATTCCGCGGATGGGGCTTTGCTTGTTTGTGCAAACCAGTTGCTGGCATGTCACGGCCCGGTACCGGTCCACAGACTGGGGGTTGGGGACCCCTACTCTAATAGCCAGCTTGTTAGAAAACCACAAATAAGATAGGGAAGTGGTAGATCATCCTTAGTTCTTCATTCTTTTAATGAACCCAATGCAAAAAGATCATTTTGCTGTATTTTTAATGTATTTAACCCTACAATTGTTTTTCATTTCATTGTTTTTATTATAACAGATAAAAATAGATTAATAAAAGCATTTTGTGCCTATTATTTCCAAATTAGTGGGCAGAATCTTCAGGATGTCTAATCTGATTCTTTGCTTATTAGATTCATGTTCCTTATGACTTTTTAATGGGATTCATGCCCTTCCCAGGAGGTGGTGGATAACTGTAATGTCAACTTTAAGGGAGGAGATGATTTGTCCCTTCCTCAAGAAGTGATCACTGCACCCATTGGACAACTTTTTCTCTGTCTCTTCTTACTGAGAAAGTGGTTCAGTTACAGATTCGAAGGTTCTGATTCTGATAACCCCTTTCAAACAAGTTTCAGGCCAGGATATAGGACTAAAGTGGCATCCTTTTGGATGAACCATGGAGGAGCCAGGAGGGCAATATAATTTTGCTGGCTCTTGGTCTTAAGTAGTTTTAGATAAGTATCAGCCATGGTATCCTACTGCCTGCCTGTAGGGATTAGATTTGTGAGACACTATACTTTTCTTTCTCCATTGTCAGTTCCAATTGATGTTGGAGGGATGGGAATTTGAAACTGGCACCCCTGATATCTGGTGTACCACAAGGCCGTAGACTCGTCTGTTCTGTTTCACATCTATATGAAGCCATTGAATGAACTCATCCACCATTTCTTGAGGCTGTCTCAGTATCTAGATTCTAGAAGGTTAAGTGTCAAGCTGGGGAGAAAGACACTCAAGTTCAAAGTTTTTCATAGTTTTTCTGGATCCAACGAAGGGATGCTGATAAAGGCCATACAAAACATGCACTTCAATTAATCATTGAGTATTATGGAAAGAATGGCTGCAGCATTGATATTCCAAGAAATCAAAACTTTTCCCCTTGTGCTAACTGCTGAAGAACAAATTTCATGGTCCTCCATTATTGTAGCAAGGCAGTGTGTTTGAATGAATTATTTTTGTGTAGTTCATTGGATACGAATTCACTATTTTTTAAAAGATTAATTAGCATGTTATGGGATACACATAAAACTGCATAAAATTATAATTTGTAATATTAATTTCAGAGAACATGTGATGAGTACTTATCCTAAAATGCACCATGCTGTACATCCCAGCTCCCA